TCCACGAGCAAGAGCCGACCATGACCTTCGACCGAGCGGCGGAGAGCGTCCCATTCTTGAATTCGCGATTCCAATCTCTTGTGCGAGCTGCGCGCGTCCATCTGCTGGCTGCTAAACATTCTCGACATCGCCGCACAGGGGATTTCTTGGTGATTGAGGGAGAAGTGAGTGCGCGTGATTTGGAATTGAGGGCGATTAGAGTTTGCCGAGAGAGAAAGGAGCTCGAGCGGTGCGGAAGTAGAATGAGCGGGCGAGCGAACTCCAGGAACGCAATGACGAGACCGGGCAGATTGCGGATGCTGCCGCTTCGCCTACCACAGAACGGGCTGCGCGCTTTCGAGGAGCGCTTGATAGCAAGAAAGCTCGATTTCTTGCTATGGGGATGGAACTACATCTGTGCGGATATGGTGCGCGAGTGGCTAGAGCCACAGGGACCACCCTCGCGCGGATTGCGTCCGCATGTTGATCGGTGGACAGTCCAAGATTGGGCGCAGGCATTGGGAAGATGTGCCGGCATGCCAGGGCATCTCCTCTTCGACAGTGAGAGCATCAAGGTGACCAAGCAGGAAGAGGCGCAATTTGTGGAGCTGTTCAAGACCGGGAGGTCTACCAAGAATGGGTACAGGACCCGTGATTACAAGGATCGATTTCGCCGGACTTTGTCCGCGGCGCTGATGCAATTACTGCAGCCACACCGCGCCTGCTACATCACATTGTGGCAGGTCTCTTTTGTGGAGTGCGTCATCGAGGGAACTCCAATTCAATGGACGAGCATCCTGCACAGGGTGATGCGACAGCACGCTTTTGAGGAGAAGGGGGGGACTCTAAACCATCTCTCTCCTTTCCTCATCAATTTTTATCGACAGCGGAATTGTTTGACAGCGGCGGAGCTTGAGCATTTTCCGCCGTTGTCCGTCGACCATCCCGGGAAGTATGTGCGGGAGAATGAGGTCGACACTGATGCAGAGGAGTCACCGACTTCTACCCCATCAAGGCGGAGGGACGAAGGGAGAAACACTCCTGCAGCACGAGTGCCGCGGAAGCGGCGATGGAGAGAAGAGTCCGAAGAGGAGCAGCATCAAGAACCCTCTGCTCCCATTCGACCGCGGCCGTTGTACGAGTCATACAGCCGGCCGAAGCAGAAGGCACGCAGACTGGTGTTACCAGCCAACAGTGCGGACACGGCGACGATTGCGACGGAGAAAGGAAGTGCGTCGCCAGAGAAGCATGAGGAAGCGCGGACGACCGCAGGAGCAACAGACCACGCTGCAGCCTCGACGGGCGAGAGGCCGCCTACGGGCCAAGGGCCTCCGGAGTTACCACGTGCGTTGCGGACAGGTGTTCCGTTTGCGCACAGACGAGACTCCGCGGACGGACGAGCCTCCGCGGACAGACGATCACAAGTGGACGTAGATCTACGCTTACGCGTGGGAAGGAGCAGTCCGCCTGTGCACAGGCGCTCGCCTGTGCACAGGTCGCCTGTGCACAGGTCACCTCCACACGTGCCGCCTGTGCACAGGCAGGAATCACCCCCGTTCCACCGTACGAAGGGGAAGGAGCCGGCGGAAGAGCCGCCTACGAGACACCGGCCTTCGGGGCCAGACCCTCCGGCGCACCACGCGCCGCAATTTGCGCCTTCGGCGCCAGGGCCTTCGAGCCGAGGAGATACGAGCAGGGAGTGTGCGGAGGCCACACTATCGGCGGGTAATCCGCCGGTAGATGCGCCTTCGGCGGTAGGGCCTCAGGGCCAAGGGACATCGGGAGAGCGGCCCCCGGCCATGTCGCCTTTGGCGATGGACGTCCGCGGCGCTACGCCTGCGGCGGACAAGGCGCCGGCATTTGCGCCTGCGCACAGGCTAAGCACAGCCCCCGCGGACCGATCAAGGGAGCAGCAACAGACGGAGGAGCGGAGTGACTGTCCGCGGGATGAAATTTCGATGCGCGATGCGCAATCAAACCCCGCGCAGCCACCCTCCGCTCGATCGCTTTCAGCGGCGGGCGTCGGCGGCAGAGAGGACACGGTAGGCGACCAACAAGCGGGCGGCGGGGATGCAGCACGGGCACATTCGCCTACCGCCTTAGACATTTTGGCGAAGAGCAGCGAGGCTGCAGCCGTCCCTTCGCAGGCAGCACACGTCGACGACGTGCAGCCCCACTCGGGTCAGTCGCCGACGCAATCATTGGCGACTGAAATTCTCCACTCGGATGATGACGACGGAGGCTCCACCGAAGAAATGTCAGGAGCAGGGGACACCGAGGAGGAGGAGGAGGAAATTGTTGGAGCGCCGGCGGCGGCGCTCTCTGAGCAGGTGATTCCGTTGCTGAGGTACTTGGATCGCAAAGTCGATAAATACGCCGACCCACTTCAGCCGGGATCTTACATCGAGTTAGTGCGCAGGCAGACTCGCACTAAAGTCCACACCAGCAAGCTATTAGCTAGAGTGGACCAGGAGTTGAGGGAATTGAAGGAGAAGCATGAATGCTTGTGGGGTCAGTATAAACTTAATCAGAAATTCTACAAGTACTCCGAGAAGGTGAGGGATGGGAAACTGGAAGAGCTCACCAAGGAGCAGGTGAAGGTCACAGAAGCGCTAATTTCTGAGCAGGCCCAGAATCGGATTTTGTCAGAGGAGCTCGTGCGACAGACGCGGTTGTTGGAACAGTGTCAGCTCGCACGGCAGGCGGATGAGGAGGTAATCCGCAGGCTACAGTCAGAGTGTGGCGAATTGAGAGCGCAACGTGCTGAGGCCGAATCGCAATTAGTGATAGTTGAAGAGGATCGCAGGAAGGAGGCAGATCGCACAAAGGTGGAGACGGCGAGGCGTGTCGCCCACTGTCTCAAGGGCTACGCCCACTGGGAAGTGGAGGCGCAGGAGAAACTCACACTGCGTGAGTTTGAACTTCGCGCAGCCGGGTTGTTGTCAGGCGACAGTAGGAGTTGGCGGAAGGTAGCAAAGAAGCTCGATGCTTTTCTGTCGAAGGCGCAGGATACCATGTCCGCCCTCGAAGTGGAGGTGTCCGCGGCGTTGCAACGATTGGGGGCTGCGCAGTCGCGCAGGAGACGTAGCACAGGTTCCGCGGAGTGTAGTGTAGCGTGGTTCCGTGCAAGTCTCATCAATAGTCTGTTAAACGTGACACTTTGTACCCTGTGTGTTCCTCTGTCCCTGTGGGTTCGACCTTTCTACCACTATACCACAGTTTTAGCCTTTAGTGGGTTATTACAATCTGATTCTTGATAATTTCATTCTCAACTCAAAACTCCCATTGCATTGAAGTTGAAAGTCCTTTGGGATCATGGAAAACAAACACAGGTTTAGCAAGAACAGAGAAGAGTATGAAAGAGTGAGAGTGGTAGACGAGACAGCTGAGCAATTTCTTGTGCAATTGAAGTTTTGAGGTGTAGATAAATTTATCAAGAATCAGATTGCAACTTTGGCTGGAAATGATGAATTACAAAGAAAGGATGACTTATCAGTGTTCAGAGTTGTTTTCTAATGTAACTTTAAAGTACAATTACCCTGTTGCGTGGTTGGTGCGATTGAAACGATCGGGTAGTGCAGTTCAGCTTAAAGAGGGTTCAGCTACTCGCACTCAAAAATGTTGAAACGCCTCTAAATGGCACAAAGACCCCTTAACCCAGAACTCCTGAAAAGTGGCATTTTCTAAAAAAGTGTCACTTTTGCCACAATTAAATTTGGGTCGATGTCACAATTAAGCCTTTGAGCCCGTGTTTAGTGTTAGTGTTTCTGAGCGATTGTGTACAGAAATCCAAGTAAGGCATGATCATCTGATGGATCTAATTTTCGAAAGAAAACAGAATTACATATAAGGCGAAAGTTTTTACAATTCTAATGCCAGAATATTCTGGGTATGAAACCGAGTTTCTCCCCCTAGGTAGCGGTCGGCCCGGCTCGGCTGGAGCCTGCTCAGCTCGGAGCCGATCGCCATGACAGAAGCTGGCTCGACTAAGTCGTAGCCGAGCCGACCCCTAGTGAATCACTACTGCAAAATGATGTAACATCTTTTCTTACCAACAATAACAATTGGTTACCAGGTGAAAGATCCACTTAACTATTCTGCCTCTGAGACGAAGATATAGAGATTTTTTACCGTGAGCCAATATCTTTGCGTGATCGATACCAGGGTAACCTGTGATCCATTAGCGGTAAATCGCCTGTAAAGAAGCCGGCTTGAGCCGCTTTCCCAGAATCGAGCCGGCTCCGAAGCCGGCTCGACTAAGTCGTAGCCGAGTCGTAGACTAAGTCGTAGCCGAGCCGGTCTGAAGCCCGCTCGAAGCCGGCTCAAGCCGGAGCCGACCTCGTCACCGGGCAGAGCTCGCGTTCCCCCTTTTCTGAGGAGCCCTTAGTGACGAGGCGGGCCGACCCCTACCCCTAGGATTGAAGACAGGTGAGATCACTCATCTTCGGATGAGGTTTTGAGGAGGAATACAGTTCACGTCTCCTGGATTTTGGAAGTTGTCACTATTCAGTTGAAGCCGCGTATCCTCATCGTTTGGATCACGGACTTCTGATTCATTTCTTCTCACGGACTGGCACTCTGTGCTCTGAGCATCCTCACCGTGAACAATCATGCGGCCCGTTCATGGAATCTTCTAAATTCATGGCTTTAGGTGTCCGATGAATAACATGAGGGCGGAATCTAAGTTAACCAAAACAGAGAAACCACCCTGCCTGCCTGGCGTTCTCGTGAAATAAACTCAATCTCTTATGGTTTCAAGACTGTCACATCAGTTTGTCAATACAAATGCCACTTTTCAGAAATGTTGGACGCCACAATTAACGAAAAGGTGGCAAAATTAGCAAATGCCACTATTAAGGAGGTCTGCCTTAACCCCATACCGGAGATTCAGAGTAGATTATACGCAGCCGCGAACCTCCTTCCATCACGCCGTGATGACCAAAGCCTAAACGAGTAAAAAATCCTGGGATAGATTATTCAAGTACAAGTGCGCATTTGGGAGGAAGTTGATAGTGGTGAATTTCTGCAGTGGATAGCATTAAAATACTCTTCTCGTGTCATTAACTGACACAAAGCGATTGCATCGCTTATATGAATGATTTTGACGATAAAACAGACCACCTTCCAAGGTGAAAAGTACTACCAGTCTCCTAGTGCTTGCCCCATCTTTATTCTCTCTCCATTCGCTACTGTGAATCTAAAATTTCTACTCTCAGACCGGGATGAGTTCATGAGCTGATAACTCTTCTGTCTCTACTGAAGGTGCTTCAAGCACAAGAACCACAGTGGATCCAAGGTTAAAAACTGCCACCTGTACACAACACATGAATCAAGTAGAAGGTCAGAACAGATGAGAGACCAGGTTCATTCGGCACTGATATAAGAACAGACGTCTGGCAAAATTCTCAGGTCATTGAGAGGACAGAACTGTGTTTGAAAATAGGATAGTTTGCAAGCATACCTCTTCCCCTGCTTTCACATTAAGACCATTTTGTCCATATAAGTGCGTGAGTTTATGGTGGCCCAAGATAATCCTACTTTTGGAATATTTGTTTTCAGCTCAGGTTCAAACTTCAACTGCAAAATTGAGATGCCTTTGTCAGAAACTTACACGATTTATCATCATAGTTCCGAAACGATTCACATGTTCAATGTGATTTTAAAAACAAGCGACAAAATCAAGGTCATACAAAACGGGTCAGACCTCTATTGAACCGACATTGGTTGCGCCAACAGCTGCCATAGCCATGAAGCCCTGCGACCATCTACCTTCTAATACCACCAGGTTGAAAAAAATTGGGTCAGAGATAATAAAATGATAAATGAAGTAAACAGTGGTTCTCGATGAGGAATGAAAACTACAGCAACCCAGTAGCACTTCAAAATTACAATTGGTAACTTTAGGAGCACAATGTTCGTATGAATGCAAAACCTGAATTTGTCTCAATCAGCATCTAGTAAAACTGAGCGAAGCACAACAACAACCCATCCAAATTTAAATATTCGTTGACAGGACTAGCCTCTTCCTCTGTTTTCGGAAGGGAATCTTCGTTCAACGTGGATCAGTTGCACTACGTCAGTTGACTGTCCTTGTCTCGACCCCATTTGTCCATATTCGGATGTTGAAATCAACGATGCTGCTCATATTCTCACCGAAGACACGATCTTTTACATTTCTAGAAAAACTTTTTAAAACTAGGTTGGATTAAAGGAACACATTGAACTTGAGATATAACCGCTACTGCGCCTTCCTACTGCATGATATTATTGAACAGTCATGGCATATTTCCTTGATAGCAGTTTGGATTTCACATTAAGATTTATAAGATATTCAGCTTTCATTGAGACCACAAAGCAAGAACAAATTCATACATCTATATTGAGAAGAATCCTTTTCTTTCCGATTTGCACAGAAACGACAAGCAACTGCACCAGATTGTAATCTCACTCCTCTACACGCACCACAACTGCCACATAATGAAGTTCAGAGACACCTACCAGCACTGCTGAAGGTGCTAGAAGTAGGAGTAGTCATCGGGAGAAACGATCGAGAAAGCATGAATTTGGCAATAAGTCAAAGATGACGCTCGTCACACTTCTGCAGTTGGTAAATTCAACCCCAAATCCTGAATAGACGGCAGTAAGTTAGGTGAAGGAATACGCAGCTATCCCTTCAGGCAATTGAAAGTGCATCAGCTCAGCGTCAGGATGCGGCGAAGCTCGTAATAATCATCATAGTGAAAATCTCCTTGACCGTGATTACGCAGCGTAGCACAAGTGAGGACATCGCAAACGGGGCAGGAAAGTTGAAGGCAGAAACTCGCGAAATTTTTGTGACTCTCCTAGCCAGAGGGATCTTGAGGCCCGTGAAGAAATATTGCGTTAGGGAACTTCATCCAGGTCGAAAACCCGGAACCCAGTAAGAGTGATATAATTATCAGTAAAGAATCACTTAATGAATTGGTACAAATTACACTCCGAGGAATACAAAGGCAGAGACTATGACGCATTTGCAAATCACCACGTGGAACAAGAGTAGCGAGCGTGAGGCGCAGGGCGATATCATGTTGAACTGTTGAAAGGCTAATAGATGCTGTCCTATCACTGCGAGTTAGTTCTTCTGTGGATCGAACAATTGATGCCAGTCGAGGTCACTTCTTAGAGTATCAGGACTAGCGGAATAGAACAAGCACAAAATCATCCCATTGTCAATCTACAGCATTTGCTGTAGATTGCTGCTGCAGAATTCAGGTAATTGCCACCTCATACTCAGGCCTCACTTCTCGAATGTACTCTCTCTCATCGTCTCGACTTCGAACTCGTCCAAGCTGTCCAGCTGCAATGCAGCCAGAGATACAAGCGACTCGAGGAACAGAGAAATTTCTCTGTGTGCAATTCAAACACGTCCACGTCGGCGTTGACACACTGAGCTGCACTGAGCTGGGAAAGCGCATTTGGCGTGCGCAAGAAAGCGAGCAGACAGCATGGAACGGCGGCCCGCTCTGCCAGACAAGCAATGGGCTGAACACGAGATCACACACCGATTCCACAGACAGCTTTGTCCGGATGACGTGGCGGCAGAAATCCTGTTGCGAGGCGCTCAGGACTCTCGGGCCGAGAGTCCTGAGCGCGAAGTATTGGACGACAGGGAGGCCTTAGTACAGGGCTCCCTAGCGAGAGCGCGCGAATAGAACTCACGATCAGAGATATATTCACTGTTATACACATTAAATATTATAAAAAATAAATCTGAGTTACGATGAAATTTATTTTATTTCTGCGAGCAGACAGCATGGAACGGCGGCCCGCTCTGCCAGACAAGCAATGGGCTGAACACGAGATCACACACCGATTCCACAGACAGCTTTGTCCGGATGACGTGGCGGCAGAAATCCTGTTGCGAGGCGCTCAGGACTCTCGGGCCGAGAGTCCTGAGCGCGAAGTGTGGGACTACAGGGAGGCTACGGAGGCTAGGCTTGGCCACGGTCCGGTTAACCGGTCCGGAAAATTTGTGGACCGGTTAACCGGTTCACCGGTCCAGGATTGGTCCCGATCGGTTAACGGTTAACCGATGCTTTAACCGGTCCCGACGGTTAACAGGTTAACTATCGGTCCGGACCCTACGTGGCCGATGGGGACGGGCCGAGGAGATTTGGGTCTGGGGAGCGATGGCGGAGGGAAAGAGGTGTGCCGCGACTCAAATGAGCCCAAGGTTCCACTTTCAGAGTTCAGAACTCGGGCTGAGTTGTACCAATTCGTGAGAAAAAATTTTCGTGAATTTTCTCACACCGAGTCATTAATTGGATACCTCGCTTGTCTGATTCTGCTTCTAGAGGAAATTTTTTTCCGAACCGGTTAACCGGTCCGAAGAAATCTGACCTAACCATCGGGACCGGTTAACCGTCGGACCGTGACCAACCCTAACGGAGACCCTGAGTACAGGGCTCCCTAGCGATAGCGCGCGAGGTGTGGGACGACAGAGCTCATGACCAATTATATATTTATTGTTATACACATTAAATATAATTAAAAAAAATCTGAGTTACGATAAAAAATTATTTTATTCATGATTATATGAATTTGTTATAATTTACTGTGAAAAAATTATAAAATATTATAAAGTTAGAAGATGAAAATAAATATATTATATTGTGATTTTAATAAAAAAAACTTCATATCATGGATATGTTAATTTTCTTAACTTAATAAAATTTTGGTTGGTTTCATTGACTAGAGACTCTTACAAGAATAGACACGAAAATTAAGTAAATGGAAAGTTGGAAACCTAAAAGATCAAAATGAACAAATTAAAATATCTACTATATGAAACTTTGCTATGAATAAAGTTGGAAATAAATTAATTAAATTTAGTATCTACTATACAAAATTTTATAAGTATGAAGGTAAAATACCAATCACCAAGCAAGTTTTGGGATTGAAGTTTCACATGGAGTAAAATATTGATCATCAATGAAAATTGTTTACATTGAAATCGAGTTTGAGTCTGTGTGAGAATTAACATAAGAGTGTGCAATTAAAAATAAGATTGTTTATGTTAGTGAATATAAGGTGTCATGTCATCATGTTGGAACAAGTGTTTGTAAACTCATCATAAGCTTTTGAAAAAGCTTCAACCTAAATCCTTAAACCTATTATTTTGGATATCACTAGCCAAAGATGAGAAACATGTTGCATCCTATTTTACTTTTAAAATTTATTCTTACGTAAGAATTGGACAAATATTTAATATCATGTCAATATACCATGACATACTCAAACATTTTGGATTCATGATTTTATTACGGATGTCTATGAAAGTATTTCAAGTGTGATAAAAATGTTAAGAAAAATAAAAGGCAAAGATGTTTGTCTTCCTGCCATTTCTTATATCAAATGCTCAAAAACCTTGCTCAAATAATATAATGAAAACGCTCATGATCAATTTATGTTTGGTAAATTTATAGATTTTGAGATTATTGTGCAGATAAGATAGGATATACGAAAAAGTATAGCAATATTGGATGAGAATTCACTAAACGTCATATGTGCGAGTTTTAATCCAGCTAACATTACTAGAATACATTAAATTTTTTTTGGATATAATACATACAAAACCATGCTTTAGGAGTTCAAAATATAGAAAAAGAAACTTGCATTTGAAGCAAAGATAATACTGGAGACATTATATTATTACATCATAAAAATAACATACCTTCTATCATTCAAAATAGTTCAAAGAAATCAACTAGGCTTCAAGCCAGATCTTCTGTTGAAGAGTGCAGAAACTTTTTCTCAACATACTAGTACTAAGTTATTTATAATTGAATGGCCATGTGGGTATCATATATAAACTATTCATGATCATGGCTTACAAGTGAATTTTTATTATTGGAAGTTGTTATTTAAGCTCTATATATTAGAATATTTTATAATAGTGGATGATTCACATGCACACAATGATGACAAGTGTACATATGTTAATAGTATATTCAAATTTGAAGCCTATTGAAATTTTTCGTTAATGAGATACACTAAATACTTCTCAATCTCTACTCCAGCCGCTGAGGAATGGAGACAAAGATGTGAATTCATGTTGTAACTCTTGAATTAAAGCATCTGTCAGATATTCAATATTATATGCAAAGATATACGATTTTATTCATATCCTCTTCAAATATGTTTCCATTTATGATCAAATTTTATATTATAAGGAAAGTGTTCAAAATAGGTATTTAAAATGTAAGAATTTATAATAAATTATAAATCAAAATGTATTTTATTTTTCTGATCTTATTAACAGTATTTAGTTATAAAATAATTTAAATGAAAAAATATATATTTTTCATAACTATATACATTTTATTTCAAAACTCTTTGAAAGAGAATTATCAAATATTATTTGATACTAAAATTTCATCATTTGCTAAATAACTCTCTTTTTAAATTGATATCCAAATCATTGAAAAAAATAATTATTATGAAAATAGCAATTGTTGATCACAGATTAATGCTAGATACATATGAAGTTTCTAATCATCGCAGCAAGACTCTGACACGAGAATATATTTAAAAGATAAAACAGTATTCTAAAAAAATAATTTCTTTGTGTTTTAATTACATTTCATATTTGATCTAGTTTAGTTTGATCGCAGAGTGCAACTTTTTTTGCCATATTTTAGCCTAGATCATCCAGGTTGGAAATAGTAGTGACTGCAATAGGTCTTCAGGTATAATTGGCTACAAAATTTTGGAAATTCAGACTTTCCAGTATGTGAGATATAGGTCATCTTTTTAAAAGTTTGACCTACGTTCAATCTCTACAAACTAATGAGTATCTTGACTTGTTTACAATGAGCTAAACAAGATCATTATCATTAAATTGACAGCTATCATCTTCCTCTTATAAGAGACAGACAGGTCTGTCTCTTATAAGAGCTGATATATCCTTAGCTGATAACCTCTTGTGATTAACCAACCTAGGAAACTCAGACTCGGGACCGATGCGGAAGGTGTCCGAATTCAGTCCATCTCTTTGTATTTCAATAGAAAGTGATCGTTCTCGCCTGCAAAGTCCAATTATCACAAGACTGAAACTTAGACAAGCCAAAAGTACGTCAGGTGCAGGCCCCTCTCAGTGCTCTCCGTCACCTCAGCAAACTCCTTGAAGTAAGGGCAGAAGAGGACTTTCTAGTCTTCTTCTTGAGGAACGCTCACTGTAGCAAGTAAAGATACCACAGCCGAAAAATGATCCAATCGCCTCAAACTAATCCACTCAAGATCTATTTAACTGACAAGGAAATCAGAGTTCTGTTTAGTTTAGTTCTGTTAAGAGCAAGCAGTTTGTAAATGACGGAACTCATGCTAATGAATGAATGACCTAACAGAAACATCCAAACAATACGGAGCAGGCTAACATCACACGTAGCAATTTTTGCCCGAATGACGTATATAATGATATAAACAGCGGGCAAATTGGCGACTAATTTAGAGCTTGAAGGTGAACAATGATTGTATCGAAATTCTACAATTTGGATGCTAATCTTGAAACCCTAACTCAACACATTAATGTGTTCCTTTCTTTGCGAGTCCCATGTGTTTGAAAAAATGCTCTCAAACTCTACCATTTAATGAATATACTACCATTTTCAACACTCGTAATTTAGGAAAGGTTGAAAAATTGACGCCTTCTATATATTGGAGAAGGAGTTCCTGCTGAAGAAAAATATTGTGGGGACTGTTCTAAGCTGCAAACCAGATATTCCATTTGAGCGTCCACAATTTGTTATTTACAACTAATGCGTATTTTCATACTAACCACGTATTTACCACTTCGTGGCTACAATGCATCACTGATGCATAGTATGCATAGCATGCATCACGTGTCCTTAGAATTCTAAGGACACTATTTGAGCATAAGTATAGGTCTAGGTCTGAACCAAACCCGGAAATTTATAAAGCAACTACCGATAAGAGCAATCCCAACTGGTCCGTATTCTGCGTCGGCTTCCGTTCCGTTTCAAAACTACATACCTGGTATGTAGTTTTGAAAAATAGAGTGGACTTGATGGGATTGCAATTCAAATTTATTTTATGATAGGGTAATAAACGCTATAATCTGATGAATATTCTGAAAGTTAAAGTATTATTATAAGGTATTTGTGATGGTGTATGAAAATTTGTGTATTATGAAGTTTGATGTGAAGTTGATTTATGATTTGATGTGATATACATGTGCACAATAAAGGTTACATTATATTTGAACTTTAGCAATATTTTATATATGTAATCTAAAA